CTTTATCTCATAAATCTATATTAATTTGTAAGAACGCTTAATAACTCTTTCTCATATATGGGTAAATACTGCCCCAGCTTGTCTTTTATCTTTTAGAACAGTTCAGAATGTCTTTTGATTGAAAGAAGTTCTGAAGTGTTATAAAGCTAAGTACATTCTCTTCCTTGATAGTTTCTAACACTAGAAATTAATAAGGCCTTCTTTATTCTAAGATCATTTAATTTTTAGTTGTATTTTCTTCCATGTCACTAGTTTAAACCTTGCAATAGCTCTTCAAAGTCTGCCACAAGGAGGACCTGGCCAATGCCTTCAGAAAAATGACTGGTAAGGCTTATTAAATATAGATTGGACATTTGGTGAAACAAACCATTGAGGGTGTCCTGGAAAGGAGAGGAGAGAGATCTTTTATGTTTATTATTTGCCAATTCCTTATGCTACCTCCAGTAGCTCTGTTAACTTGCTCTTTGAGTATAAAAAGTTTAAAATGAAAAAAGTGTTGACATTAGTTTTATGTTAAAATATTAAACCAGTGGGTATGATGACTCTTCTTACCTTTGCCAGAACGGCAGCTGTCTTAGATAGAAAAGACCTTCGTTATATTCACTAATGTATTTCTTGCAAGCACAGTGCATGGCACATAGTATGCACTTGACAAATATGTGTTGGAGCTGATGTTTTACCAACTAGAGCTATGTATATGCCAGGTTTGGGATGAGCGAGGCAGGGATAATAAAGTCTGGACTTCACAGCTTCATATGAAGGAGGTGCAATGTAAGAAAAACTCCAAATGAAGGTAGAAACTAAATTTCAGTTTTACTTTTTAGTTCACTGTAGAGATATTGATCTGCGTGTAAACATGAAACTGCCTCAGACCTGGGACAGTAGGATGTGGTGCTGAATACTGGAAAATATTCAGAGAAAAAAAAATTCTGCTAGGCAGACCATTAAGCAAAACAGTGGTATCCACCCACTAAAAGAGACAAGAGGCACTACTCTACTTCATTTTGATGTTTTGGCATTTGTCCAAAGCAATAAAAATCAGATCCGGCTTGATCTGAACATAACAAGGAAGAAACAGTTCTCAAGAAGATTCTTTTTCACGATGGGGGAAGGGAGAGGGTCATTTTGTACAATAATGGAAAAATCAATTATTTTTCAATCAGATGGAGTGTCCTCATAAATTTAAAGCACAGAACAGCATGACATGCCTTTATAAAAAACAATGACCACAAGGGAGACGAGTAAAGGATCATAATCCTAAGGTTGCTACTAAGAAGGAAAGATCTTACAAGGGGAGAACAACACTTTTCTTGCTAGTGTGTTTTCTGTGAACGTACGAAGTAGTCGGTATGCACTGAATGTACATCATCCTGCACAATTTGCCTCTACAGAATCCTGTTCAATTGGCTTCCCATTTGGCTATGGCTTTTAAGTGATACACTGAAATCTTTTCTCTACAGCATGATAATGCAGCAGTAACACAGATAAACCCAAAACTGGCAAATATACTATATGTAATATATATTTATACATATTAGCAAGAAAATAACCAAGAAAGTAGTAGAAATACTGTTGACAGAATTTAAAAGTTAAATGTTGGCCAGGTGTGGTGGTTTACACCAGGTGGCTTAATCCCAGCATTTTGGGAGGTTGAGATGGGAAGATTGCTTGAGTCCAGGAGTTCCAGACAAGCCTGGGGTAACATGGTGAAATCCCATCTCTACAAAAAATCCAAAAATTAGCCAGGTATGTTGGCACACACCTGTTGTCCCAGCTACTCAGAAGGCTGAGGTGGGAGGATTCCTTGAGTCCGGGAGGTTGAGCACTACAGCCTGTGTGACAGAGCAACACCCTGTCTCTCTCTCAAAAAAAAAAAAAAAAGTTAAATTGCAATTATGAAGTTTTTGATCAACATAAAGATTGGAAAGTCAGCTCTTGCAAAAAGCTGCGAAGAACGTAGGAACATTGGAAAGATGGTCAAGTCTGCATGAGGGTTTGGGGGAATGCATACCCTGGGAAAATATGTGCCCCACAATTTCCTTAATACGTAAGGCTCAGAATTTACAACCATTACTGCCTGTTTACAAATTTAAAAGGGGAATAAAGAAACATGAGGCTGTCTACTCTGTGTAAACCCATGAGTCTGTTATCATATTCCATGTACACTGACATATTTCCTGTAGACTGGCCTCAGGGATGACAGCAGATTCATGATGGACCTTATGCGCAGGAACGCCCTGTGTCTGTTTTCAGCCAGCAGTGATACACCAACATGCTAGCTATCCGAAGGCCAGAAGTGCACCCCTTTCTAGTGTTTCCTCAGACCCTGGCGGAGATCGGAGTTCAAGAAGGTGAGGAATGAAGGCCCTACCTGGTGGACAGTAACTCATGAGGTATCAGGGTAGTCCTGTTAAATTAGTGCAGCCAACCGCTAATCCCTTCGTGCCATGGGGTTTGGGGATTCTGTGTATTCTAGAGGGATGGTCCACGATGGATTCAAGAGAGCTGTCAATGTCTAACTGCTATCAGCATCGCCCTGGCACTTCACAGGAATAACAAGGGCCACCCTCCATCCGTATACTTCCCTAACTGAAGTGCGCCATCAGTGAGCTGGGGTTTAGGAAGAAAGGAGAGCATTACAGTGTGTGTCTGAGGAAGAGGAGAGTGCACAATTCCAATGTCTCCAACTTTCTAGGAACAAATCCACTTAGAATGTCAGTCACACCCACAACAATATTTCTAGCACTCCAACTAACACCATAATTGAGGAGGAGAGTCTCTGGTTTTATTTATGCTGAGAAGAGCTGTTTCCTCCCCAGAGAGTGACCTATTCTTTGTCTTATGCCGAGAAAGCCATAAGAAAAATGCTGACCTATGAAGGTGACACATCATGCTTAATCACTACTTTCAATTAAAACAATATAAAATAGAGCACGTACTGAGCCACTCAGGCAGAACATAATATCCCAAGCAACAGACACACCTACTGAGACTTGACATTTCTGAGGAGTCTGGTTCCCAGCTGTGTGTGGAGAGTGAATCCATGACATTAGATGTTGGGTTGCTCTGGAGAAACTCAGGGCGGAGCTGTCACAGCAAACTGCATTTGCTGATAGCAGATTTCCAAAAAGTTGCCTTAGCTTTTCAACACACCAAACTCCAAATACTAGGAGCCAAAAGAGGTTTGCAGCCATGGATCTCCCCTCCTCCCCACCTCCAGTCATGACCCTGGGGCAGAACACCTGCTTACTTTCCAGTATTCCAACAGCTCACTTCTCAAAGGCGGCTTAACGCCAAGTGTTTAAGCTGGGGTGGGGTTGAAGTGGGAAAACTCAGCTCTGGTTTCTTTCTCTTTGGTTAAGCTCAGCCAAACGAAAACTCCTCAGAAACAACTGCTTGTTTTTTTGCTGGTCTCTTCAGATAGGATAAAGTGGCCAGTGTCTCCCATAAAACTTGCATCTAGGGAAATAGGGTAAGTGCACAGAAGGCTTTTCCAGCTTTCTCCAATCCCTGAAGCTTCCCAGGGCCCTTCCTGCCCATGAGAAGGCTGAGTAAATGACCATGAGAAAAGTCACCACTGGAAGAGCGTCCTAATTTAGTAGAAGAATTTCAACAAGGTAAATGGAATTTCTAAAGTCTAGAGATTCCATATGTTCTTTTGACAACCAAACCATTAAACAGTGCTGTCCCACTCTACCATAATCCATATAACAGGCCCACAATAACACACCTGTTTTTGTAGGCCTCTGAAAACATCTCTCCCATTTTAAATCCTTTAGTGGCTCATAGGATCTGGCCCTTGCCTCCTTCTCTGGGCTTATATCTGACCACCTTCCACTAGCGCAGTAGTTTTCAACCAATGGGTAATTCTGTCCCTGTATGGGACACTGGGCAATAATCTGAGGACATTTTTGGTTGTCACAATTAGAGTGAAGGGAAGGGGATGCTACAAAAAATCCTAAAACGCGGAAGATAGTCTCTCACTTCAAAGAATTACTTGGTCCAAATATCAAGTGTCAAGGCTGAGAAACCCTGCTCCAGTCATACCAAACTCTTTGCTGGTCTCTGAGCACACCAGGCGTTCTCATATGCTTTTGTGCTTAAACACATTCCTTTACCTGGAATGCCTTGCCCTACCTTCCCTGTCCAGGAAATTACCATTTCCCATCCAGGATCCTACTCAAATGTCGCCTCCTCTACATTGTCCTTCCCAGATTCCCCAGAGTTGGATGTTCCTTTTTCTGTGCCTCCAGAGCTTCTGGTACATACCTTGTTAGAACACACTCACTATGCTGCCCCACGATAGTCTGCACATGCTGAAGGCATGTCTCAAGTTGTATTCTTCGTTTATTCCCATAGTGCCCATCTGGTAATAAATCGCCACTCACCAATTTAATCAGGGAATAAATAAAAATGGAAAAGATGCACCTTACACTCTCTTGCAACTATGTCTAAGGGATAATAGTGTCCCCAACATAAAAACAACAGCAGTAAATATGTATCAAGTGCTTGTAATGTGGACAGGCACTATACTAAGCACTGGTACATGTAGTAACTCATTTCATCCTTACAATAATCCTATCAGGTAGGTATCATTTTTATCAGCATTTTACAGATGAGGAAACTGAGGAACCAAGAAGTCAGGCCACTTGCCCAGGGTCACCGACACTAGCATCTGGAAAAAGTGATATTTAGTCCCAGGAAATCTAGCCTCAGACTCTCAATATTCCAATATTCATGCCAAGGCAGTTATGCTAAAACCCAGTATTTCAGCCACTCAGAGGCCCCTGTCAAGTATAAATGACACCTCCAGAGGACTACGCAGTCAGAGTAGCCACTAGCACCTGTGACCCTGCTTGTGGGGGATCACACGACTCTCCAACTCAAACGCTTCTGGCAGGATAAGCAACCTCTTCACATCATGGAAAGACATATGCATTCCAGAAAATCATGGTACCGTAAAGGAAATACAAGTGCTGATTCCTCAAAGTACCTCTTACCTTGTTCATGCTGCAGGGATGGGAGCAAGGGATCAGACATGTCACAATGCGAGGCAGCTCTTGAAGATTCTCCTCATTCCTGGAGCCCTCACTTTGCGAAGCAGACAGCTGCACTGTGAATATAAACAAAGAAGAAATCCATCAGCTGGTGCCCAGGAAGGCACAGAGCACTGCCATGTCCAGTGCCTTGCTGCCATGATGGCAATGATCCAAGTCTGCACTGTCCAACATGGTAGCCACTAGTCAGATGTGGCTATTACTGTGCACTTGAAAAGCAGCTAGTGCAAATGGGCGCGGCCAGGACTCAACAGCTAGAACTTCCACATATTTCCTAGGAAGGCAGCGTACCATAAGGGAATTCAGGAGGTCAGCTTTCCATGGGCCAAATGAACTAAACAGTTCAATCCCCCCAAATAGAAAAATAGTCCACCATGTTTTTATTCATGCTATTTATTCTTTACATGAAGTTTTTGATTCATATGAATTACGTTTCAGAGTAAAAGGGTTCTTCTTTGTCTTTTTCTTTCTTTCTTTTTTTGACATAGAGTCTCATTCTGTTGCCCAGGTTGGAGTGCAGTGGCATGATCACGGCTGACTGCAGCCTCAACCTTCTGGGCTACAGCAATCCTCCCACTTCAGCCTCCCAAGCAGCTGGGGCTACAGGCGTGCACCACTACGTCTGGCTAATTTTTGTATTTTTTTTATAGAGACAGGGTTTTGTCATGTTGTCCAAGCTGGTCTCAAACTCCTAAGCTCAAGTGATCCTCCTGCCTTAGCCTTCCAAAGTGCTGGGATTACAGGTGTGAGCCACCATACCTGGCCAGTTTCAAGGTTAATTTGTCAAATTCTAGGGGAAAATATTTTTTAAATGACTTCAATTGCTTAAATGGATTTGTAGCCTTTTCCTCTGAAAGGTGTTTACAGGTGGAACTGAGAGGAGAGCAAAACATCGTAAGGTTCCTGATACTCAATTTGTGTGTTATTTTTTTAAGTTGCATCTAGGAAGGATTTATATATCTGTACCTTCCCATAATACACGGAATTGGAGGTTTAACTGGAACTGCAGTGCTTTTAAAAATGAAAAATACACTATTTTTAATTATAATATATTAAGAACATAGAAAATGTTCAATAGGAAAATAAAAAGGTACTCATAACCCCACAAGCCCACCATAACCATCTTTAGTTATTAGTAATCAGCCTTTGTCTACATTGGAGAATGACATGTCTGCTAACTAAGTTCGGGACATGGAGAATTCCAAAGCTGTATTCCCCATATTAACATCTTTCACTGCTAAGAAAATGATTTTGCAATTTACATTTTCAAAGATAAACTCCTACTCCATGCACATTACTATTCTATGAACATAATATTACTACATTCCTTTTATAAATCAGACGATAGGGAGAGGAAATTGCAAATCACTCCTTGGCTATTTGAAACACAGATTCTAAAGAAAATACCACATTTGGATTAAAAACTTAAATGTAAGACCTAAAACCATAAAAACCCTAGAAGAAAACCTAGGCAATACCATTCAGGACATAGGCATGGGCAAATACTTCATTACTAAAACACCAAAAGCAATGGCAACAAAAGCCAAAATTGACAAACGGGATCTAATTAAACTAAAGAGTTTCTGCACAGCAAAAGAAACTATCGGCAGAGTGAACAGGCAACCTACAAAATGGGAGAAAATTTTTGCAATCTATCCATCGGACAAAAGGCTAACATCCAGAATCTACAAAGAGCTTAAACAAATTTACAAGAAAAAAAAATTCAAAAACTGGGCAAAGAATATAAACAGACACTTCTCAAAAGAAGACATTTATGCAGCCAACAAACTTATGAAAAAATGCTCATCATCATTGGTCATTAGAGAAATGCAAATCAAAACCACAATGAGATACCATCTCACACCAGTTAGAATGGCAATCATTAAAAAGTCAGGAAACAACAGGTGCTGGAGAGGATGTGGAGAAATAGGAACACTTTTACACTCTTGGTGGGAGTGTAAATTAGTTCGACCATTGTGGAAGACAGTGTGGTGACTTCTCAAGGATCTAGAACTAGAAATACCATTTGACCCAGCAATCCCATTACTGGGTATATACCCAAAGGATTATAAATCATTCTACTATAAAGACACATGCAGATATATGTTTATTGCAGCACTGTTCACAATAGCAAAGTCTTAAAACCAACCCAAATGCCTATCTATGATAGACTGAATAAAGAAAATGTGGCACATATATACCACGGAAAGGTATGCAGCCATAAAAAAGGATGAGTTCATGTCCTTTGCAGGGACATGGAGGGAAATGGAAACTATCATTTTCAGCAAAGTAACACTAGAAGAGAAAACCAAACACTGCATGTTCTCACTCATAAGTGGGAGATGAACAATGAGAACACATGGACACAGGGAGGGGAACATCACACACTGGGGCCTGTCAGGGGGTGGGGGGCTAGGGGAGGGATAGCATTAGGAGAAATACCTAACGTAAATGATGAGTTGATGGGTGCAACAAACCAACATGGTACATGTATACCTATGTAGTAAACCTGCACATTGTACACATGTACCCCAGAACTTAAAGTATAATAAAAAAAAAAGAAAATACCACATTCAGTCATAGCAATAGCATATTTTAACAATAATGTACAACATGGAGAGCTCCTAAAATTCCAACTTTGTAGCATGAATATATCCAAACATCTCCACATGTACATGATGTCCAGGTAATCATGGCTTCAAAGTCAAGAAAATTCAATATCTAATTCTAATTGATCTTAAAGTGACTGAAAAAAAATAATGCATATAATTTTTACTCTTTCGATTTCTGGAAGCAGGTGCTAATAAATTTCTTAGTTTTAAAGTAGAACTTCATACATGCTGTTTCCTTTTCAATGTATGTATCAATCCATTTAAAAACTATAGCCCAGAACTTAACTGGAAAGCTTGCCCAAATGCCTAGCAGAGATGCCTCATGTCACAATTCAATTTCTATGTACACATTGGTATCAACACAGGAAATGTGGGTACAAGAAGATAATAACAAACAGACAAGGATTCTTGAACATCATTTCCCTGAGGAACCCCACCCAGCTCCAATCATGCCACAATCCCCGTACTCTCAGAACTTGGATAAATAACTTGCACTAAACTGATTACAGATCCCTTCCTGCCCCCGCCCCAACTGTTCTTATGTCATTCTCATGTATGTTGTTTTACAACCGAACCAGGCTAAAAACCCTTTGAGGGAAACATCAGTCACATAGAACGTTTTAAAACAAAAGTTACAAGAGTTTTTTCTTTGCTATCACTCACAGGGCCTAGGATGATACAGACTTTTAAGTGTGGGGTCTTAAAAACAATGTTAGTAATTGCTGCAGTTGTCTTTGGAGTTCTTTTAAAAAGGAAAATCTCTAAATGCCAGGACTGTAAATCTTTTTAAAAATATTAAGAATATCATACAACTGTATAGTACCCCAAACTATACAACGCACTTTTATATATTAATACTCTCATTTAATATACTAATACCAATCTGGGTGGCAGTTTTCCTAATTTGGAAACCAGACAGAGAGAGGTAAAAGAATTTTTCTTGGTTCTTGCTGAAATAAGCAATAGACCCTGGACTAGAAGTGACTTCATTTCAAGACACTATGGAATTAAAGCATGTGAAAGACCACAAATAAAAAATAAACACAACACACACCCAAAAACAACACACCCCCCAAAACAACACACATACACACACGCGCACAGACCAAGACCACCATTTAACAGAAAACGCCTCAGAGAACAGACGACAATTTTAGAAACTGGGTCAGTTCACTTCTGGACAGCAACCAAAAAGACTGGCCTTGTTCTATCAAGTACTTTCCATCTCCTTTGAAATCGAGAGAACCTGGTTGTTTTGCATCCAATTCAGTTTATGAAGAAGTTTAGTGAAATCTACAGCTTAAAAAAGGAGACTGCATCTTAAATATAAAGCATTAGGGAAAAAGATACCTGAGTTACTGTGGTGGAATCAAGAATGTTTTCTTTTTTAGTTTATTATTCAATGTTTCTTTTCATTTTTTTAAAAGCTGGATTCCTCTAGCACTGAACAAAATGAAACTACAGATGCCTTTAAAGGGTGCCTTGAGAAAGTTAATCCCATAAGCCCCTGTGTGACTTCCACTCAGCTGATCTTAACAGTTGGTTCAATGGTCAATCTTAGACTTCTAAAACTTCTAAAAGGTTAATAAACTATAATTTGTCTTTCCAGGTGGATAGAAGCGTGGGTAAGAAGAAAAGTGGGCCAGAATTACAGAACCCCAGCACTTTGGGAGGCTGAGATGGGTGGATCACTTGAGGTCGGGAGTATGAGACCAGCATGGCCAACATGGAAAAACCTCATCTCTACTAAAAATACAAAAATTAGCTGGGTGTGGTGGTGCAGGCCTGTAATCCCAGCTACTTGGGAGGTTGAGGCAGGAGAACAGCTTGAACCAGGAGGCGGAGGCTGCAGTGGGCCAAGACTGCATCAGTGCACTGCAGCCTGGGTGACAGAGTGAGACTCTGTTTCACAAAAAAAAGGGGGGGGGGGCAGAGACAAAGCAAGTCTAAGAAGAAGAGAGAAATGACAAGAAAAGATGAAAGATACAAAGAATGGAGAAGAACAAAGGGCAGGTAAGCAAACAAAAACACTCAGAGATAGGTTTGGTAACATGGCCAAGAGCCCCACACCAGCCAGGTCCTCACTATGGAAGGGACCCAGAGATTCGGACTCCTGGTGACAACTGCACATCCTATGGCTTCTCTGGGGTTATACTCTCATGTCTCAGGTGTCAGCAAATGGGAGTTGGAGAAACACCAGGCCTACCTGATTCACCACTATTTATTTACCATCCCAACCTCCATCTACCATGGAGAGAAGCCTATTTTACCTAGATCACTGTTAATGTGCTATAGAGGTATGCTGAGAATAACATAAGTCACCTTTAACCCTATGCTCTTTAAAGAGAAGCTTCAAAGTGTCAAGGGCTGTGTGTGTGTGTGTGTGTGCGTGCGTGTGTATGTGTTCTCTTGGCCCTGGAAAATGCAACTAATACTGCCAATAT